GGCCACTCAGTAGCCGGACCCCTCCCCCAAGTGGGCCCTGACTCCTCACAACGCGCTCAGCTCCAGCACCCTCACGAGCCAATCACCTCTCCTGGTCTTTTTTTTTTTTTTTTTTTGGTACCAGAAATCAAACTCAGGACCTCATGCTCATCAAGCAGGCACTGCCTTGGCCCATCAGGGAGTCCCTTAATCCAGTCAAAGTGACAACTAAGATTAACTGGCACAATTTCACCTCTTGCCAACCTGACACCTAACTGTATCTCCTTAAACCATACTCAATCAATAAAGAAAGACATTAAGTCCATACTTGCACCCAACATCAGGGAACTATCCTTTGTTATTTGTTTGTTTTTGTCTTCTTGACACAGGATTTCACTCTGTATCTCAGGCTAGCCTCAATTCTCATCAATCCTCCTGCCTCAGCCCACTGAGTGCTTGGATTACAGGTGTGCACCACATGCCTGGCATCCTTTGTACAAACAAAAATGTACTAATTGCTTCTCCAAAGTCTTCACAGCCTTTCTCAAAAAAACAAAGTATACTTTAAGACTCAAGGAACCTCTGTAAAACTAAAAAAGCAAGTTAGTTAATCCCAAAATATAATGCCACATGGTAAACATTACTAATCCAGGGACTGTGAGTAACTGGGGATCAAAAAAAAATAGGATCAAAGCAAAAGTGAAATTCAGCAGGGTTATCTGCTCTGCTTTCTGCTCCTAGTTCTCAGTTATACATCTAGCAAAAAGCAGCCAGCACTAGCTGTGCCACAACCTGAACCTCATGGTCAGGTATAGTCACAAAATGACCCACTTCTCTGGTACTAATTTTCTGTATTGGTGAGCTTTTCCCCTGCTGGGACAGAGTACTCAACACACACAACTTAGAGGAGCAGAGGGTTAATCCGGCTCATGGTTTCAAAGGAGTCAGGCTATAGTCAAATGGCTCCCACGCAGAAACATCACTGATGGGAATGGAGGAATGAAGTGCTCACTTCTTGGTGGCCCAGAAGCAGAACAAACAGGAGGCCCAGCAAGAGATACCCACTCTTGGCTGGGCGTGGTGGCTCACGACTATAATCCTAGGACTTAGGAGGCTGAGGCAGGAGGATTGCTGTGAATTCAAAGCCAGCCTGGGCTACAAAGTGAGTTCAAGGCCAGCCTGAACTGCACAGTGAAACCCTGTCTCAAAAAAAAAAAAAAATTTAAGACACACGCATTCTTAATTTGCCAGGTGTGGTGGTGCATACCTATAATCCCAGCATTTGGGAGGCTTCAGCAGGGGGACTGGCATAAGTTCAAGGCCAGCCTAAATTATATAGTAAGATCCAGTCTCAAAACAGAGAGGGAGGGAGGCAGGGAGAGAGTGAATGCTCCAAAGGCATGTTCCCAGTGACCCACCTCCAATGGGGCTCCACTCCTCCTAAGGGCACATTCAGCTACGAACATCAGTAGATTAATCCCTATGATCCAAACACCTCTCTCGGAGTCTCTTAATCCAGTCAAACTAAGATTTAAGATTAACTGGTACAGCAGTGCTTTTTCAAAATCTGAAAATCTGGACTGGATTTTATCATTCTCTCGTTTATTTTTCACTCTACCTCTGTCTCTGCTGGTGTTTCCATCTTTCTGTGGAACTTTAGGTTTGCTTTTTCCCTTATTCAGTTTTTCCCTGTAGTTTCCACACTATTTATAACCTTTAATAATTACCCTTAATTTTACAAATTTTACTTAAAACAATTTGCTAAATAGATTAAACAACAGCTTATCATCCTCCTAAGTAGCAAAGAGTATGAACACGACTTCTGTTCCAGCTCTCTCCTCCTGACTTACCTAATACTGCTATCCAGTATTTCATGTAGTTTTTATTAACACAAATAAGAACTAAAATTATTTTATAGTCTGTACTAGCTTTTCATTGCTGGAACACAATACCCCAGATCCACAAATAAGAGAAGAGGTGGTTTCAGAAGACTCAGTCCATGGCTGGCAGTCTCCCCGGCAGGAGTAGCAGACGGGCACGAGGGAACAAAGCTGCTCAGTTTGTGGCAGCGAAGAAGCAGACAGAGCAAGGGAACAGCACCAGAAAGAGGCTAAAGACCAAATATAGTACCCCAGGTTGTACCTCTGGGACCCACCCAGACGCACCCAGAGGTACTACACCGATCTGTGCCTGCTGGCTGCTCTCAAGTCCATGGAGCTCACTATCCAACTTAACTGTCACATGGGGCAACAACAGTTTGGGTCAAGGTACACGTTGACCATTTCATTTGTTCAATACTCTGTTGCATTTTAGATGACTTTTTTTTTTTTTCTATCTTTTTCTTCTTCCTGAGATAGTCCTTCAAATTCCTGTAGAAGATTTTTCAAAGTTAGTACTATGAAACTGGCCAAGGTGAACAACTTAGTGAGATCCTATCTCAAATAAAAATGAATAAAATAAAAAGGACTAGGGCTGTAGCCCTATGGTACACTGCTTCTGGGTTCAATTTCTACTACGAGAGACAGAAAGAGAGGGAAGAAAGAAAAAAAGGGTCTCCAGTCTCCAAATATTTCTAAATATAGTATCCCTTGGAGGGTAAAATTGCCACTAGTTGAAAACCACTATTTTAGAGCAAGCCTTGTAATAAAAAATGTCCTGAGTTTTATTTACCTCCAAGTGTTATTTTGTTTTTTTGGTACCGGGAATGTACAGGACACTGCGCTTGCCCAGCAGGTGCTTGTACCGCTGAGCTGTATCCCCAGCCCTACAAGTGATTTTCTTTTGCTCCTAAGTATTTTGCTAAACACAATTCTGTTAATAAAGTGTTTGTGCCCTCTTGTACTTTCTTTCTTTCTTGCCTTTTTGGTTTTTTTTTTGTCTTTTTGAGACAGGGTCTCATTATGCAGTTCAGGCTGGCCTTGGGCTTATTTTGTAGACTAGGCTGGTTTCGAATTTGCAGTGATCCTCCTGCCTCAGCCTCCCAAGTGCTAGGATTATAGGTGTGCATCACCACTCCTGGTTCCTTTTGTATTTTCTAGCTTCTGTTTTGCTGCTGAGAGTTCCTCCATCATTCTGTAGTTTTTTTTTTCCCTTCTGTAGTTTTAATGACCTGTCCGTTCTCTCTGGCTGCTTTCAAGATACTTTAGATACTTTATAGTTTAACTGAGACATATCTAAGTGGAATATTCTTTTGGTTCATATTCCTTACTACTTCTAATTTACTATTTAACCTCTTCTTTAGGTCAATATTTTTACTTTGTAGATGTTCCATTTATTTTTCTTCCCCCTGAATAGTCTCT